AATTATCAGATAGTTAGTTTGGGTTTAGCTGGTTTCCTTTATTGGTTTTTAGAAGGTGCCCTGCTAACTTCCACGGAAGTGGAATATCAGGGCACTCGATATTTTTTAAAATATGTCCGCGGCAAAATTATTCTTTTCACGGATAATTTACGGATAATTAACGGCAAATTATGCGATAGGAATTTTTGCTTTGAGAAAAAGTTGTCCTGCCAAGTTCAGAGAGGTTATAAATCTGGGTCGTACCAGTTACGTAAGCCCGGCTGTAATGAATCGCTTCAAAAATACGTTTGATTTCGTTTTGTTTGAGCAGCGTTATAGATGATCAATAACATATATCTGCGTGAATTCATGTCGCCCCAAATATCGAGCTTCTTTTCGTAGCGTGTACCTGACAGTTTTTCCATCGATTGGTCGACCAGAGTGAGGTGCATTTTTGACATCCAAATTTCCGCAACGTAAAAGAAAACAATAAAAATGTAGAAATTTAACCTTTCCAATGCGTTCTGATTGACGCATTTAAATAAGGGTTGCCAGATATTTGGGCATTAACACCACATAGTGACAAAATCCAGAGGATTTTCATATGACCCAAAATAAACGAGTCTTAAGCTATTAATTAGGTTGAGATTAGGAGATAGATACTTACTGATTCAGAAATATGCGCTTGAATGGTAGGAGCAACAGATCTTGTCATCGTCGATGACACCTTTGTATTAACTGTGTCACTGGAAGCCACACACGCAATTCTCTCGCTTTGAACTCCTCCAAACACTTGCTTTTCAACAGCCTCTTGTAAGGTTTCATCGTCTTCAATAAGGTCCACAACGTGCTGAAGCAAATCATCTGGGATCTCATCGCCATCCGGTGTTTCTAAGAGTGGCGCGCTAGCAATGTCAATATCATCTACGGTAGTTTCAGTAGATCCGAAATTTGTTTGATTTTTTTCCTTGTTAGATTGTATGGTCTTTGAATCCAAGTTATGTTCGACTTTTTCTAACATCTGCACCAACTTAGGTATGTTTTCTTTTGAATTTGATGATTCTATCATGGCGGATTTCTGCATTTCGTCTTTTACAATTGAAACGATGAGATCAAATTGCTCTGCAGCCAGTTCCGAAGACATTTGTTCCTTTTGTGAACAGTGTATGGTAGATACATTTGATTGAACAATAACCGGCTGAACAGATGATTTCAACTCCATCGAAACCTTAGTTTTTGCAGCCAATTCAGATGTGCTTTGGTGAGTTTGAATTGAAATTTGAGCAGGTAATTTATTTTGAACAGCAGTTTCAACACCCAGAGGCATAAATCCTCTTGAGGACGACTGAGCAACCATTAAATGGTTGCCTAAATTCTTAGTGCTACTTGTCGGGGATGTTGGAGTGCTACTTGTCGGAGTGGTTGGAGTTAGCTTTTCTTTTTGAGATAGTAACTGTCCTATTTCCGTAAATCCGCCCTTTGGACTAGCCATAACCTGCAACATGAAGTGTTAAGATACTATTTTACATGCACTACTTTACATTACCTTATTAATAACAATTTCTTTCACCGTATGCGGCGATCCTTGCAGCTGAGAGCGAACGCTTGTTGTTTTTTGCCCACTCACTTCTATAATGGGCCCTCTGCGTATACCACTTGGTATTGGTTGTGGCCTTGTAACTGGGTTGATTGCCTTTTCGTCTATTTGTGCCGTTGTGGAGCGTTTTGGAATTGGTGGTAGAGCTGCAACAGCATCTGAAAGCAGTTGTTTGACTCCTATAGGTGTACAACCCGCTATTTTAACAGGTGATACAATCTTATTCGGACGGTTAAAAACGTTGCTGGTAACTGGCCGTATGTTATTTCGGGATTCATCCCCTTCATCATGAGATTGTAAAAGACGTTTAACATATACTTTTCCAGCTGACAGGCGTTTTGCTTTATTAACAAGTTCTTTTTTCTTCGTACCCTTCCTGTTAGTGACGTTGAAGTCCAAGTCGCTATCGCGATCATTGTCGGTATTTCCAGACTCCTCACTTAGTATATCAAAGTCTGTTTCTGTTTCTGAACTGAGTTGTTCTGTATCACCTTTTGTATGTCCATCTATGTTTTCTTGTTTCTGAGAGGTGACAAGTATCTTATTTAATTTAATATTTTGGTCTTTAACTGATTGCAAATTCGGTAGTTCAACAAAGTCATTAGCACCTTGAAAAACTTTATTTTTCAATTGTAATTGCTTCATAGTTATCGCAGTGTGAGGAATTATTTTTCGTCCGATTACTGCATGCTTTTCTGCCTTATATTTTTCGGCTAGTTTTGCTTTCATTTGTGCAGGTGAAGTGTACGGAGTGTAGCAGTGATCATTTTTAATTACAAATAACTGGAACTCATAATCTGCGGTACGTTTGAATGTTGAAACCCCTGCCAACTCTAAAAAGAATTACGTATTAATCAAAGATGAAAATTGGCCACTATAGAACAAATATTACTTAGCGCTTCTTTCACTACTTCCTTTGCGGATACAGGCGGATAAAACTCTTCTACTGTCAACCCAATAATATCAGGACGCTCTTTGGGCAATTTACTTTGAATGTTAAGTATTTTACCTTTAGTGTGCATCTTACATCTATTCTTTCGTTTCTTCTTTCGAGTTTCGAATTTACCGTTGTCAGCGGAATTTTCGTCATTAACATCACTCTTTTCATCATCAGCTGTATGAATTTCTTCACTTCCGGTGTGATATGCGACCTCATCATCGCTAGAGCTATTTTTATCACTACTATCGTTTGATTCAATGTCAGATAAACCTTCAGCTTGTCTACGAAGAAATTCTTCTGATCTTTCTGCCTCTTTTTCTTCTTCTATCATACTCGGCGTTGGAGACGTTAAACGTATAACACTTATCGAGGAGAGTGTTTTTTCCTCTGAAAAAAAAAAAATATTTTTAAAGGAAACATTTTAGGATAATAATTTACCAATGAGATTCTCTATTCCTCGATGATCAAAGTTCACTCCTTTTTTTCCATAGACCACAACCAAATTGGAATCAGGGCATTCTGAAACAGCAACTTCATTTTCAGAGCCAACACCACCCTTTAAGGGCTTGGTGCAACTTTCAACGAACACTGAACTCGCCATCGAAAAGTTTCTAAATTGTATGGCAAAAAAGTTACTATATAAAATTTATTGGAAAAAATGATTGAAAAAATCACCTTACAATTTTTATCAAATTCCCTTTAAATGCTTTGTATTCTCATGTTTCTGCCATCTTAAATCGTTGCATGTAATGCAGTAAAGCACCAGAGTTTATTTAATACAATAAACAAAAAAATGCGAAAGCTCCTACCAAGATGAAAATGGAGAATATCGGAACAAAGCGTAGAGGAAAAACGAAAGCACTGAAAACACTTCAAGAGCACTACTAAATATGTAAATCTTGCTTATCGCATTACAATTTCTGAATATAAGTTCGAACAAACTCCAACATAGGTATGTCAATAATTTTTGCTAAAATAAAACACTTTTTAATGAACAATGCAGAGATTTCTCTACAAAATGTCAATTATGCACCTCGCAAACGCGCAATTTTCATAGGAAGCGTTATAAAAGAATCGGCAAGAAGGAAACGTTCTGAAATGTGTAAACTGTAGTGATGGCATGAACGAAAGACACAAGATCACGTAAGAACAAGAGAGTGAAAAAAGTCGATTTTTTTTAGCGGGTTCTACGCATGAACCAAAAATACAAGATCACGTAAGACCGCGACGTTGTATTTGTAACTGGTTTTGAGAAAAAAGTTTGCGAAAGCGGGTTCGTGAGCTGAGCGCATGATTCAATAATAAAAAGTTAGATAATTATTCATGAACCTAAAATACAAGATCACGTAAGAACGCGACGTTGTATTTGTAACTGGTTTTGAGAAAAAAGTTTGCGAAAGCGGGTTCGTCAGCTGAGCGTTTGTTTACATCACAAGCACCACTATTTTACACTTTTATTCAAGTAAAGAAGAGTTAATTCAACATGACAACACATTTTAAAGCATTTTGTTGCATCATTTTACCTAAATTGTGCGTTTAAAGTGGCTGACAATAATTTTGGCTAATTTTGGTTTTCGTTGTTTTCTTTGCTTTGTTTACTTTTCGCTCGTTTTCCAGTGAAACAAGATGGCGTAGAACCCGCTAAAAAAATCGACTTTTTTCACTCTCTTCTTCTTACGTGATCTTGTGTCTTCGTTCATGTAATTATTGACAGCTGCGGTTTGACACGCCCTTACAAAAGGTTGCATTTACGAAGGACAGAGAAGGGCAAGAATGCAATCCCCTGTTTCGAAAATGGTAGTAGAAAAGTACGCAAAGTAGGCAATTAGTAGTGAAATTCCTTTCGTAAATTCTAATGTATTTGCAGGAAATCTGGCATTTTAAGCGAAATGTTGAACGTAATATTGATATATCTACGTGAATTACGTGATTTATATGCTATTGAGATGTATAAAAACTGCAAAATGACTCAAAATTTAAATAAGACTACTACGAGACTGATGTAAACATCCAATGCTTATGTTTTCATCAGTTAAATATGCTTCATATGCATATATAAATAAACATATTGCACAAAAGCTTATGCTTTTATTTCACACCAAAGCTACACTGTTTCTATGTAAATTTGCAAAGAAGCAACACGGTGCCACTGCTAAGGGAGCGGTGCGAGAGAGACAACTGTCAGTTTATCGAACCTTGTATTATTGAATCATGAGCTGAGCGTTTGTTTACATCACAAGCACCACTATTTTACACTTTTATTCAAGTAAAGAAGAGTTAGTTCAACATGACATCACATTTTAAACATTTTGTTGCATCATTTTACCTAAATTGTGCATTTAAAGTGGCTGACAATAATTTTGGCTAATTTTGGTTTTCGTTGTTTTCTTTGCTTTGTTTACTTTTCGGTCGTTTTCCAGTGAAACAAGATGGCGTAGAACCCGCTAAAAAAATCGACTTTTTACACTCTCTTGTTCTTACGTGATCTTGTGTCTTTCGTTCATGGGTTCTACGCAAGAATGATAGAATACAAGATTGCGCCAATGAGAGAGGATTTTTGCGTGACGTCATCTTGGCGCAATTGCGAGAGAGAAATGCCAAAACGCATATAAAAATATGTAAACAATGCAGAAAAATGTGTTAATTTTAAAACTACATGGCCCAATTTTGCAGGAATCAATAAATATACAAAGATTGATTAATTAGGAATACGTAGCAATAATTTTGGACATGTAGCTCTTTAGATAAGTACGATTTTTAGCACATGAAAAAAATGAATGTATTAAGTGTTTGCAATTTCATGTAGACCAAAAGGAAGGTGTGCAGCAAAGTGAATTTTTGGACCTGCCATTTTAAAAAGCCATGCAGAGTGCATATTTATATTTGTGGACGGTAGCCAACCACCATAAACTCCACAGCTGTTGACTCCACAGCTTTTATTTGATGACTTTTGTACCATTTCCGAGAGGATGCATGAGTGTGACTTTTTTGGAAGCAAATATTCTATGTCAGTAGAACTTAATTTAAGCTGAACTTTTAAATGTATAATAATTTTGGCACTGTTTTGTATTAGGCACGTAACAGCGCGGTAAGATGCCGCTTGAATTAGCGCCTGGCGACCTTATCCACTGGCGCATACCTCATACCAGCACTAAAAATATTATTTTCAATATATTCACTAGTAAAGTGCTGCATGCACACATAGCTCGATTTGGTGTTTAATGCATCTCCTCGCCGGCAGAACTGCTTCCAGTTTTTCGCCAGGTTTGCGTCCGTAGGAAACGAAAAAAAAACTTATATAGCACGCTTTCCTTCGGTTTTCACTATTACACTTTGCCACTGCGCACTTCATTTTGCTTTTTAATGTCTCAATAATTGTTTAAAACCACGCCCAAATATTAACGCACAAATATAAAAATTGTTATTTGGTTTTTTCGTATGCTCACATTCAACAATTGCACCATGATGACGTCACGCACACAGCTCATTCTGTCAAAATCACAAAGAGCAGATTAGAGGTACCGCGATTGGCGCAATCTCTATTTCTCTCAATCGTGGGTTCTACGCCATCTTGTTTCACTGGAAAACGAGCGAAAAGTAAGCAAAGCAAAGAAAACAACGAAAACCAAAATTAGCCAAAATTATTGTCAGCCACTTTAAACGCACAATTCAGGTAAAATGATGCAACAAAATGTTTTAAAATGTGACGTCATGTTGAACTAACTCTTCTTTACTTGAATAACAGTGTAAAATAGTGGTGCTTGTGATGTAAACAAACGCTCAGCTGACGAACCCGCTTTCGCAAACTTTTTTCTCAAAACCAGTTACAAATACAACGTCGCGTTCTTTCGTGATCTTGTATTTTTGGTTCATGTAGTGATGGGCAGAATTGTCGGTACCAAATCCAATACTAAAATACAATTTCGGTACTTTTCGGTACCCCACACGGATTCGATACAGTACTGACGCCCCCGAAAATAAAATTTACCAAAATCTTAAAAAAAAGGAGCAAATGCAGAATACCTATAATTCTCAAATTAAAAAAATTCATATGGGGATCGATAGATTAAATCAGTATTTCTCGAAAACTTTTTCATGAATTTTAAAAATGTTGATGTCATTCACTAGAGAGCTTAATTCTGTTTAATCTGATATACATATTTATAGATATCGTCGATGTTTTTGCAAAACCGCCCATCGACCAGTTGCAAAACCGCCTAAATCGCCATTGTGACAAAAATGCGATTTGGTAACCCTGAACTCCAGGCATCGAGATTTATTCATAAAAATCATAAATCGTTATTAAAACAAAAGATTTGTAAAATAATAGCTAGAGAAAATGCCGCCTATCAAGGCAATGCCTTCAAAGAAAAATCGTTTTTTCGCTCTCCTGTAAAATTTGAGTGCCGAAAGATAGGCGGTTTTGCAACTGGTCGATGGGCGGTTTCACAAAAATATCTACGATATACCGTTTAAAATGCATAAGTGCGGCCTACGCAAAAAGGTGTTCTCTCGTTTTCGAGAAATATTGATTTAAAAAATGCTTAATTTGAACTTCGACCTTTAATAATTGTTGTAGTTGCTGTTTCCCTTAAAAAAAAAAGTGCGGTATACTCTCACCTCAATGATCTCTATCGATCCCAATATGATTTTTTTTTTTAATTTGAGAATTGTAGGTATTTTGCATTTATGCAAATAATAAAACGAAAAATTAGTGACTTTATAAAGCGGCGTCCAGCGTATTTCGTTTAAGGGAGGTTTGTGGGGGCATGGCCCTTCCCCCTTCGTCCTTACCCCAAATCGTTGTACAAATAAGCAAACATTGCCCCGAAAAATGCTTGTTTCTTCCCAAGCTTGGTAAATTAATTATAGAAATAAAAAGGAAACAAGTAAGCTAAGGCAATCTAAAGCTCATGCTCATGCACGCATGAAACGAGTTTGCTATCATGTTATCTTGTCACGCAAATAAAGGGACCTAGGTCTAGGTCACCTCCGAACAGCAATGGTTTTTATGAGAAGTGATGTCATGGCAGTACACTCGAAAATTTGAAAATACGACGAGCGTGGATCGGGAGTTGCGTAAAGCAACATTTCCTGGAACTTTACACGGGATCTGAATGATAGTCTTCCTTAAACATAATTGAAACTTTTATTGAAATGGTAACTCTGGCTCTGACTCTGGCTGTGAATTTTTGAAGAAAATTATCCATTCTGACATTTTTAATCAAACAATTTAGCAAAACGAAGAAAATTTTAACATTTCAACAGGCAGAAAAAAAGTGTAAATTTTGCAAAAAGCAAAAAGGCAACGCTAATTCGATACATCAAACTTTCGTCATATCGTCGCCTGGGTAAAAGATTGTCGTAAGCGCAATTTTGACAATTTTTAGTTTTAGATGCAGTTAAATATTTTGAAATAAGATCTTCCGATTGGTGTTATCAGTCTTTAGATATATTCTTTAGTTTTCTAGATATTTACTACAATTTTTTCGATAATTTATAAAGTAATGGAGTCACATTAAACTAATCAATATCTTAAACATGGCGTTCTCCATTTTTGGATATCTCCTTTCCGAGATATTGAGCAAAAAGTGTCGTTAATTTAGTAGAAATTTTGATCACATTTTGTCGTATTTCATACAAAGTGGCTCCCAAATTGTGGAGAAATGACGCTTACGACAAAATTTTACTAAAGCAAATCCTTCATAAACTCTAAACTAATTAACATTAAATAATCACCCCTAGTCTGCAACTCTTTCGTATTCGGATTTTGCTATGAATCGTAGAAATAGTATGCTGCAATCCGAATCGTATTTTCGAGCTTTCGAAATTCGTAACAATGGCATGCCTAAAAACGAACGAGTAAGCTTTTTTGCGTAATTTTGTACGAAAACAATTCTGTGTCTGAGGCGAAATAAAAGATGTAAATCGATGTGTGTTTGCAAGAAATATTGGTGGTGTTCATTTAATCAGATAAATTTGCCTTTCGCATATACGTATATTTTTATCCACTGCTTTATATAAACGAGCAAAAAGAGTATTTGATGCCCCTTATCGAGAAACTTGGGTCCGGTTTAGTTAATGTACAACGATTTTCGGCTGTT